TTCTCTATAGGGCAAACTCTCTCATTTTGTCAGCTTACCTTCTCGCGAGATTGGAAGGGCCAGCCCATTCTTCCCTACCTCTCTGGGCCTACAGACTTGGGAAGTCAGCAAGACCTCTTTGCCTCTGACACCCCGGGAAGCTATCTCTCCTGCCCCAACCTGCCCCTTGCTGTGGTGCAGGGAACATCTCATGCCTAGGGCTCTCAGAGTTCCCCATGGGAACTGAGCCCCCAGCCCTACCACACTTGAATCCCCAACTTAAAGAGAGCTCCATCATCTAACTCTCGCCTCCTCCTGCCACCACCCAGACTGCCTAAAATGAGATGGAATTTGAGTCTCTTCTGAGACTTCTTTTCTTCTGTCTTTCTGTCCTCTCTCCTTGAGAAGCTTTGACTTACTTTGAGGAGCGGGAAGGAAAGGTTGCTCAGCAACAATTCTTTTGAATCTCTCTGCCTTCTGCTTAGACTCTCGCTTTTTAAAGCCCAGAAATGTACTCTCTCTGTTCCTGGTTGCTCTAGGCCACCCCACCTTGGGCAGTGCTAGCCTCACACTCTGCTGCTTGATGACAGGAGGCTCATGAAGTCAAGAGAAAGTGTGGGAAATAATGCAGCAGTGAATTCTCCTTGTGTATTATATAGTCACTTCTAGGAACTTCAAATTTAAAAATCCTGAGATTGTATCTTATAGTTTGAAAAAGTAACTAAAGGGATAGCAAATTTGGAAGTGAGGAAAGCTCTAATCCTCACACATGCGCAAATTACCTGAACGGGATGTGAGATGCTTATTGTAAAGGTGATTGAGCCAGAATTATTTTTTTAATGTTTGTTTATTTAGTCATAGAAAGAGACAGACAGAGAAGGAGAGAGAGAGAGAGGCAGAGAGAGAGGGAGACAGAGAAACCAAAGCAGGTTCCACACCATTAGCACAAAGCCCAATGTGGGGCTCAATCTCACGAACCATGAGATCATGACCTGAGCTGTAATCAAGAGTCAGACGCTTAACCCACTGAGCCACCCAGGTTCCCCTAAGCCAGAATTCTAGAGGGAAGGGATTCAAAGCTGGCCTTTACACAGCTTGTTTCTGACGGTTCAAGTGAAAGGGAGTGAACGAAGCCTGATCACCCAGAGGGTGAAAGGTGCTGAGACTTTGATGCAGCTTCCTGCCGTCCTGTGGGAAATTCCACCAGGGGAAGTGAGAGGATGTGGGACAGGGTGGATGAGGGAGGGGGGCGACTAGGTCCAGACTGTCAAGTCTCTTCCTAATCATTTCTGCCTGCTTGTGGAACCGTTGGTCTGTGTTGGGAAGGATTCCATGCCCGAGCCCGCTAGTCGTCATCTTCTCCCACACTTCCGCCTCACTTTCCATGATGGGATGTCATTCAGTGACTGGGACCCAAGCTTCAGCAGCCTCCTTGGCTCCTGTTCCCCGTGGGCAGATGGTCACCACATTGCTATTCCAAATCAGGCCTTCCGACTTCAGCTCTGGGCTTCTTCTCATGAGATCACCTTTTCTGAAACACAGTCTCCTTTATGGCTCCTTACCATCGTATGCAGTCCCTGGCTACCTCTTTAGCTGTATTCAGTACTATAGCTTTTTATCATACTTCACACTAGATAAACTGGACACCTTGCTGCTCTCCAGGTGCAGCCCTCACTTAGCTGACTCCTGTCCTTTGCTGAAACTTTCTTCTACTCAGAAGCTGCCACTGAAGTATACCTTCCGCACACCAAATCCATGTACTGTGCTTATTGAGTGCCTACTAATTCTCCATGGTCTTCTCAAATGAAACTTTTGCATCAACTCTCAATCTCCCTTCCTGTTACTCTGGGTGGACCTTTCATGAAGCCTTTGTGAGTGCCATACCCTTTGTGGAACTTCTGGTGCCTTCTACACTGCTGGCCATAGGGGTAGATTATTGAGCATTTGTAGATTTAGACTACAGTTGAGTTACTTTGTCTCATTTTACAACAGTTAAGGAAAGACGTGAGAGTAAATCTGTCCGCTATGCTAAAACTTAAAAGGTTGCGTTGTCTTTCAACAAAGCATGTGGTCAAACACGGAGAAGCTGATGTATGTTTTGGTCCCATTCGTGGAGCAAAAATATTCTTTGCTTCTTCAGGGAACTCCTGCCCAAAATGTTCTCTTCTCCAGTTGTTTAAAAATTCCTGACTCTTAGCAGAGAGAGTTCGGACAAATAGGGGGATTTACCATATCTTGGTTAACTTGGAAGAATACAGTGTAATCCATCTTTTGTTCAATTTGTAGTAATGAACAGTTTCAGGGCTTGTGCTATGAAGTGTAGTTTCGGTAGACTGGATATATAGCATAAACCAAGTCTCAAAGCACCAAGAAAGGGCCCGGAATTTGACCATTTAATGTGCCATGAGATTAAAAACAACAACAACAGATAGAGTCACTGCAGAGACTACAAGGACCTAATGCTTCCAGTTTATTACATGTATATGCTTTCCAAAAATACCTAATCAATTAAATGTTCAAAGGTCTAGGTAGAACATCATGTTAAAAACAGTGACCCTTTCAAGAAGAGGAATAGTCCTTGAGGCCTGGGAAGGAGCATAAGTATAAGTTTAGATCTGAGGTAACCAGAGGAAGTGTCCTAGTGATGAGTCAGAAAGAGAACTGAAGCACCTCAGCTCCTGTGTAGACTGAGTCAGTGTGGTGTCGTAGGGCCCGCCTCATTTCACGCCCCGGCCTTCACTTGCTCTGGGACTTATTGGACAGTTTCTTTCCTCTTACTCTCCGTATCTGTAAAATGGGATAAGAACAACTACCCTTCAGAAGTTTGGAAGGACTAGATGAAACTACATACGTAAAACACTTCCCCGTGTCTGGCCCAAGTTCATGCACTAGTCTTCCTCCAAGTCCTTCTACTTACCACCCCTGAGGAAAGAAAACTTGCTGTGTGGGGTCATTCTCGCCAGAGTAAGCTAGCAAGTACCGTTACTTTTAAAAATTTCTGCGACCTTTAAATTAATTGCCTTTTATAAGGAATTTTAAAGTTTCATCCTAAGTTTTAAAACACTAATTAAATTCACTATTATAACAAAACTGTAAAAGGAAATTAAAATGGAATCAATTTTAAAGTTTGATTTTATTTAAATTTTAACGGTACCGAATATTGTCTATCTTTTGCAGTAGGAACCCTATAGATACGAATCATAGGCATACTAGGTATGACTGATATTGAAATATGATTACTTCTGTGATATTTTTTAGGAGAAAATTATTTTAATAAAAATACTCAGGACAAAGTTATCAATGTAAATATGTGTTGCATTTTTTTGGTTAATAGTTAGGAAGCAAAGTATTTTTAGTGTGCTAATCTGAAAGATGAGAGAGAACGCTTTAAAACTCAAAATGATATGGCTAACATTTGCCACAAACTTGGTAGTTATTAATATTTAAATAATAAAAAAATTTTAAAAATTATCTATTTGAACTTTTATCACTTTGTTTTCCTGAAATTAATAAGGGCTAAATAAATATATTTTGGCACGAGGAAATATAAAAACTTGTGAGGATTTCATCAGGTGGAAACAGAGGAATAATTGGTTCTCATTACCAGGATTAGCTGAAGTATTTCAGTAAATCTTGCCATGGTACAGAAGCAGCAGGTATCTGAGAGACTGTTCTGGTGGTAGCTAAGACTAAAAATTACCTTTAGTCTAGGTGATAAGGATGGGAAATTGAAAAGCAGTAACAGGTTAGATAAAAATGCTCTTAACATATAAGGTACAATAAAATGATTAGCATTCAGTCTATATAAAGAGCATTTACAAATCAATAAGAAAAAGAAGCATGGGACACAAACAGGAAATTCACCAAAGAAGTCCAATAGTCTCACCAGCATTTAGATAACCACAAAATAAAACAAAGTCAGATTGGCAAAATTGAAAGTTTGATAATATGTAGTGTTGATTAAGGTGCAGAAAAAATTGATTCTCTTCTGGTCAATGTGAAAATTGACTCAGCTACTCAAATATGTATTTGTTAAAATAAGAAACACGTATATCCAAGGGCCTAACTATTTGACTTCTGCTTATCTACCCTAAAAGACCTTTTGTACTTCTATGCAATGTACTCACGCACGTTTGCTCGCTGCAACATCATTTATAATCATGAGAGACTGAAAGCAAATTAAGTTCCCTTCCAGACAGAAGTGGCTAAGTAACTATGATGTATGCTGAACATGTAGTACTATATAATAGTGGTTATAAAGAATGGGCTAGAACTGTGTGTGTTGAGAAAAAAGAATCTCCATGACAGAGTCATGAGGGAAAAAAAATGTAGCACAGCCTTATAAGGTGTCATCATTTATGAAAACATTGAAAAGAAATGTTTCATGTTTCATGAAAACATGAAAACATGAAAAGAAAGAAAGAAAACATTAGTAATACTATAGATTTTCTACAGTAGTAGCTTTCAGACTCTTTTGGGAATAAGCGAACCTCAACACAGTACACGTTTTATATCACAACTGAGTGGACCTACTATGTTCAATGCACTCTGAGATTTTTCTATTCTGTCCCATTTCATTCCATCTCATTCCATCCCATATATCAAAATGCTGGTCTTGACACATTAAACTGTTTTCAGGATTCAATCACCCTTGAAAAATACTGTTGTGAAAGTACACAGTTATGTATGTAAATGGATAGAAAAGTAACTGGAAGCTGATATCAGGTACAGCTGATCCGGCTCTGGAGAGGCGCTGAGGGGTGGTGGTTACAGGGAACCTCAAGCCTTTTATGTAATGCCTAGGTTGTTTTTATGTTCATTTTGCGTGCTTTACGTCGGGCATGTGTTATTCTTTATTTTTTTGGTGAATAAATCTAAACTATTTTTAAAAGTCAAAGATTTACTGGGTTGGAGGGAGCAGAGGTCAAAAGGTCTTAAGAAAAAATTGTTAAGCTGCATTGCATAACTGAGTAGTTCAGAAGACAGGCATTCTAGCTAACTACTTCTGTTTTTGTATTTAGGGCCACAGATGAGCACATTCTTGTGGCAAGGTAGAGTCAAACCCGTGTGATATCCCACTCGAAATGTCATCACAGTCTAAGAACTCTCTGCCACGCTGTGAGATTTTAACTTGTGAAATATATCCACAGATCAATAACATAAGGTAGTCAGCACATAGTTGATCAAAAAAATCAAGCCCTCCAGTTTCAGAAAATGTGAAGGTAATGTTGCCGTAACAACCTTCTCTTGGCCACGTTACACGGTCTGTAGTTTTCAGTATTGGTCTAGAAAAACAAATAGCTATGTTGTAAGAATCATTTCTATAGGAAACACCACTGTAGAAAATAATAGGACATATGTAAACTTGGCTATCTCTATAGGCTGGAGCAGATACCTCCAGCCTTGTGTGTTCTATTTTAGAGCTACCTTTCTGACCTATATTCACACTTTTACCCTAAGGGTAATTTATTAAACCTCATCTTAATAGTCAAGTAATTGATGATTTAAAGGAGTTAGACACACTGCCTAGGGGAGATAGATCCTTTCAATTTCAAACACTTAGTCAAGGTATTAAATGCAGATAAACTACAATTAGATTATTTTTTATAAGAATTTCTCAACTAACTCAGTAAAGATGCCTGTAAACAAAGTAATATTTCTTTAAATGTTCTGTTTATTTTCTTTTTTGTGTTTGTGTCTAAATATAAATTTTCACATGCTCATAATAAAATAGGTTGAATCTTTTAATGACCACATTAAATTTTCTCTGCAAATGTTTTGAAAACAATTTTATGGTAAAATATGCAAGCTTTCTCAGAAAGCATTTATATAAGACTCATTTTTCAGAATTTTAGCTATTGCTAAAGCAATGATTATGTTCACATTTAATTTCATATAGGCTCAAGGTCGTATGGAGGGAAGAAAAGAGGGACTTTGGAGCTTTTCTTTTAAAAGGGGTAATTGGCAAGAGTATTATTGGAGCAATCATGCTATGGGTCAGAGGGAGGGAGAGCAAGAGGAGGAGGAACCTGGGGAAGGTGGAGAGGATAATGTATATCCACATATCTGAAGTGTCTCTTCAGTTTTTCTTTTTCTCCAATGTGGACCTGAGGGTGAGAGGGGGCAGAGGTGGCCTTCTGGCCCATCTAGAGGTTAAGGCCATTTCTTTAAAGAGTTTTAAAGTTAAGAATGGACTACTTGTGGCTATGATATATGAAGGTGAGGAAGCCACTCATATGCAGTTTGACACGAAGCCAGCCTCAAACTGTGAAAGTGGAGTGGCAGTATGATGAGAAGTCAGGATAAGTTACCAATGTGTCTTATTTGGAGCTAGAGAATCATCCAGGTGAACATTATAATTTGTAATAATCAAGGGTTACAGTAACCTTTAAACCCTTATTACAAATTGTGTATTTTTTTGTTTGTTTGTTTCTGGGTTTTTTTTCCTCTGTAAGATTGCCTATTCGGTGTTTGTGTTAGTAGTTTTACTAAAATTAGTTTTAAAATATGATATTAAGGGCATAATGACTTTAAAATGTAAAAGCCTGATAGTCTGTTAACTGCACATATCTGAAGCCCAGCTTTTCAAAGGCCACAGTATCCAAAGCACCACTGACTCCTGGTGGCAGCCTGGTGTAATCGCAGGCAAAATTTCCAGGAGTATTTTTAATTGTTATAAAAGGTAACATTGTTATGTTACTCAGAAGTCATATAAGTAAAAGGAAGAAGTGCATACCATATTGTGAAATATGGAAGTGTTACAAGGTCTCTGAATATTATCTCATTGGTAGGATCAAGATTTTAGCTTAATTATTTTTTCAGAATTTTACCCCAAGTTCTACTAATATTTTCTACTAAATATTTTTGAAAGAGAAAACCAGGATCTTGACTAACTGCGGAATTTATCATCCACAGCATCTGCAGGGATTGCTGTGTCCCAGAGGAAAGTACGGCAGATCAGTGATCCTATTCAGCAGATCTTAATTCAGCTGCACAAAATCATCTACATCACACAGGTCAGTATGCTAGCATTTTATTTCCTTTTCATCTTAAGTACAAGTTGATGGTAATGTCGTTGAAGCACTACTTTGTGGAATTTTAAATTGGAACGAATGCTCATTTTTATTATCTCCAACTGCATATATTTGGGAACACTTTGGCTTAGCGGCAGAGCTAGAGCTGGAAAGGTTGTAGGGTATAAAAAGCAAATATGGCAGTTTCCCCCTATGACTCATAACCTACTCTTTTGTCCGTGTCCCACCAAAAATAAATTTCAACACAAATGGCCCTTCATTATGGGGGTGAAAGTGGGGACAGGGCTGGGTTTTGAACAGCCTCGCTACAGGAAAGAAAAACTAGTGCCCACTGAGGAATCCTGAGGATGCTGGGTTAAAACTAGGACCTCTCAGAGGAGTCAAGATGGTGGAGAAGCAGGGGGACCAGGATTTCCCTTATCCCTCACACACACAGCAGTATTGAGGTCAGAACACTTGGAATACCCAGAAAGTCTATCTCCGGAGTGACAGAAAAAATCTCCACAGATGGAGGGAGACAGATTGGCGGGACAGTGGTGCGTGTATGCAAACTGGGGGAGACAAAACAGTGTGGGCACAGAGGGAGGGATCCCCTTCTGTGGAGAGACAAAAGGAAGAGAAAGAGAAGCTGTGGATTGCAGTTTTGTGTTAGGACAAGAGAAAAAGCGCTCTGGACCACGGACTGGAGAATGAGAAATACGGAGAGTGCCAGTCTCTACTTTGCAAACAGCCTTAGGAGCTGAAGATCAGAGTTTTCAAAAGTGCATGACTTTCTCCGGACTGAAGCCGCTAAGTGTGTGTGTGCCTGGAGGGGAGGGGAGCCAGCCCTGGGTCGAGGTAGTGATCTCAGGAGTGCGCTGGGAGAAAACGGTTCCCTCCCTGAGTACTGTGAGAAGAGGGTATACTGCCCCCCCAAGAACAAAAGACCCTGCAGGTGCCAGCCAAAGGCCCTTTATCAGCAGGGCTGATTGGCATTTCCCCAGAACCAGGTCTGCGTGGTGTGCGATCCCTTAAGACATTGGGTTTTGAATCCCTTCTGAGCGCCTAGGGGGTGCGGGAGACTGTGGAGCAGGGCAAGCTGACTGCCCCCCACTACTCTGTGAGGGCTGCCTGAGCAGCATGGTTTGAGACGCCCAGTGGGGAGGAGAGATTGGGTGTCACCATTTTCTCCCCAACACCGACACGGTGGGGCTTCAGGGCACGGCGCAGCGGGTCCAGTGGAGGCTGGACCCCCTTACACCAAACCCTGCCTGTCCGTGCCTGGTAACTGCGCATCTACTGGAGTGAGACTGACACTGGGCGAGCCAGGCGGCCTCGCCTCCAGACCCGCACAGCCACCGGTTCCAGACACCAACAGACAAGTGTCCTGCCATTTTGTATGTTAGTCCGTTGCTCTTTTTTTCCCTCTCTCTCTCTTTTCTTTCCTTCTCTGTTCTCTTCTTCTTCTTTCTACCCTCTTCTTTTTTTTCTTTGGAATAAGGCTCATAGTTTCTGATTTGGTTTTTGGTCAATTCTTCTTGTGTGTGTGTGTATACATATATACACAAAGTTACCAAAGCTAACCAAGGTCTTAATGTTAATAAGAAAAGAAATTTTTGTAGATGACGTGTAGGCATATGGATGAGAAAGTAACTAGCATTTTGGAGTCTAAGATTGCGTGTCTTATGCAGTTCATTTGTTCATTCATTCATTCATTTGACATATAATTATTAGGTGCCTACTATCAGATGCCACTGTTCTATGCATTTGTGACGTATCAATGAGCAAAACATATAAACATTTACTCAGTCTAAGATACAGAGAGCCAATCTTATGACTCTGTCACTTGCCAATCGTAGCGATTCCAATTATATGTTCGAGGACTAAAGAGAAATGCCACCAGGTTGGTGGACCGAATGGGCCCACTGTAAGTCACACTGGGCTAATACACTTACTCTCTCCCCAAAATCAAACAAACAAAACAAGCCAACAAGCCAACAAACAAAAATCCATGCTGATTGGTGTATGACGGTGGCATTATGATAATAAATGGCTGTAGGTCTCTTTGGGCCTCAGACTTGGAGGAAAATGTATAGTGTATACTTATATCAGTGTTTCTGGGCCCTTCCTAAAGGAGTCCCAGCTATTCCCCCCTAATCAAGGGCTTTGGGTCTTTAAATTGACCTAGGTATAGAAATTGCATGAGAGGCTGTGACTGTCCACTGTGGCGACGGCAAATTGGGTCAGATTTTTGTCTACCAGACCCAGAGTTTCTTTTCTGTCATTTGGATTAAAGAATACTCCAGTATTCTGAGCCACCACCAAAGACCACTGGGGTCAAAGCACTCTAATTAACAGTGCATTCCTCCCACCCTTTCTGGTAAATGCTTCTAACTGTCACTGGTGGGTAAATGGCGTCCCTTGGCCTCTGCTTCTTTGCGATCACATCATCCCCGTTGGGATCCTATATTTTCAGTGTTGTACCTGACCTACAAAGGAAAGCAGCCATAGAGATTTTTAAGGATGCTGGTGCTCCCGTCTCTAACGTACTTCTCCATACCTTAGTGACAGGAGTGGCTTCTGAGTATTTTTGCTGAACATAATTGGGGAGTGAGTGTGCAGGTCACACATGGTAAATGGCAGGTCCCCAAGCCTTTGGATTCCCTCCTCCACATGTCAGGGTAGCTCTGGCATTTTACCCCCATTAAACGAAGGTCACCATTGAGTTGGAGTTGTATAGCATGCCAACCAAGTAAGCAGTTACCTTCAGCTGCAGGAACTAATACACTAAATCTGGACTCTCTAGTAAGAGCACCCATATGAATGAATTCAGCCTGATTTAGTGTCGTGTTTCACCCTTCTGGGCCTAAAACCCTTTGAATCTACTACACACGTTCCCTGCGTTGCTGCTGGTACAAAGTAGCAAAGTCTTGCAATTCTGACAGGTAAGCTATTTCCTTCCGGGTCATAGTGTGCACCAGTTCCCCTGCATCATGTCGAGATATGGCCCACGTGATGGACTTGACCCTCGTTGTTGTGGGTCTTAGGAGGAATAAGCATTCCTTTTTAAGATCTCACTCCTCATCTATCCCGGATGAGGTTAGTGTAGAGTTTTCAAGCAAAAGAAGGCTGGTCTTCTCTGACACAGAGTGACAAGCTACTTCCGCTGGCAATAATGACTCAGAGTGACAGGACTGTCTGTTTTATCTGGATCCAACAAGGTGTCCCTATTTCAAGCTTTAGGATCCTATTCTTTTTTCTAACTTTCACATGAAAACCTCAGCAAAGTAGGCATTCAACTGACGTTGTAATTTATCAACCTGCCCAATTAAATTTGTATCTGATTATCAGCCGTATCTGTGCTGTGGTAGCAAGAAAATCACAGGCTCTTTTAGGGCTATCATGGAATCTCTCTGGGGCTCAGACTATGATGTGAGCCAAGAGTTCAAGGACCCAAGCTTGTCATTTTTTTTCCTAAGTGCTCTGATGCACTTTGAAGAATCCATCCCACAACGCAGTCCTTGTGGTCTTCCTACTTCGTAGTGCAGCAGCCACTCAAGCTTCCAGGGCACTTCCTTCAGTTGGCTCTTTATCATGGTGATACTTGATCAATTGTGATGCCACTGCATGTCATGGGCTATGAGCGGCCCCTGTCCTGTGGCAAAATTCAGCACTGGGCTCGGTTCCAAGGGCACAATCAAACCAAGTCCCAATTCCCATCTGTATGGGTCCTTCTTCTGGGACCTTGCTGGAGCCTAATCTGTTATCAGTGAGGGTCCAGTTAGGAGACAGAAACCACACAGTAATTTCAATAGGGAAGATTTAATATAAAGAATTACTAAAAGTTATTAATAGTAACAGTATTATTTAAGAAGGAGGGGAAGAGAGTATCTAAAGAATATAGCAAGAGCAGCTATGGAAGTCACTATTTATAGGGCTGAGGCAGAGCATCCAAGAAAGGAAGAAAAGAGGACACTCCCATCCTGGGCTCAGGTCCAGACCTCATCGGAAAGATCAGAGAAATCCACTGAGATGCTGTGCTAGAGAAATTTGCAGGAAGCCTTCCCCTGGGGGGTTAGGGCAAGTAATCCATGCTGAGCTGTCATGCTGTGGAACTTGCTGGAAAGCAGCATGTGTGGGTTGGGCTGGGAAATACCCTCTATGGGACCAGAGGAGGCTTCCCACTGGTAGGTGCTGCTCCATGGAACATTCTGGGAAGCTGCCTATAGGATTGGTGCCAGTGAAACTGTCTAGGGGTAAGCACCACTCTGGTTTCCCCTTGGCTGCTGACCACTCAGTGCTGCAGGACTGGGGCAAGGCGGGAGCATCGCTGGGACCAGAAAGTCAAGCACCGTTCTCCTCCAGCATCCCTCGAGTGCTCTCTCTCTACAGACAGAGCCCAACATCCTGGCAAGGGAGAAATTCCACTGTCACATGCAGGGCACCAAAGGGTGAATTTGGAGCCGAGAGGCAACAAGTAGGCAACTGTCACACTTGGGCTGGGGGACTAGGCAAGGGACTCCCTTCTGTGGGACCTACCCACCTCTGAGTTCTCACTGCTTCCCCTTTGGCTTCTCCCTAGCCTGGCTCTTATCTGTCACGTTTTCCCCCAAATCTGCTATTCCTTCCAATCACTCTTAGGGCTAGCCTTTTGAGACTCAAGAGTCTGAAATTGATTACTTTTTTCCTCCATTTTCTGCTGTCAACCTTTCCCTTAGGCAATCCCACCGAACTGTCTACCTGATTAAATGAAAGAGGGTGAAGGGGTACAAGGAAATATGAGGGGGATGTAGAAAATTGGTTAATAAATCAAAATATAATCTGCCATATCTCTATTGAGTAAAGATATTATATTCAAAAATGCATTTCCCTTTAAATGCTGATGTAGAAATATGGGGAAGCATTCTTTACTGTTAAGGAAATAGCTTTAAATAGCTTATTGATTACCTCAATGCTTAACTACTAAATTGAGAGAAAATATACTTTGAAATTTAAATATAGTTTCCATATGCCTGTCTTGCTAATTTTTATATAATAAAAAACTTTTTGATGGATGTGTTCCATTTCTTTGTTGGATTTCAAAGTAATGTTAAAGCAAGAATGAAATGATTATAAATATCTTATTATTATGCTCTCACACTTCAGCATAACAAATGATTTCATATTTTTTGGCAAGCCGGCATTCCTTGCTACAAGTTCAGATGTAACCATTGTGGTTTTTAAAATGTATTTCCAGAATACTTGAAAGTTTATGACATTACAAATAGGAAGGAATGTTTCCCTTTTGGGGAACTTTAAATTATCATGCCAGCCCAAGACAATGCCTTTCAAATGAAGGAGATAAAAACAAGTCTGAACATGATACCTTCCTATTTGCTACAGGTGGAAGGCCAAGATCAGTCTTCTCTGTCTGCCAATTCCAAAGGAAATCTGCTGAAAGTAAATCTGAATCAACAAACGAGCACACAAACAAACAAACAACTCTTCTTGTCCCCATGTTTATTTCCTAGTCAGACTCCTTGGTGGGCTTACACCTGTGGTAGCTGCCCTGAATTGCAGGACCTCACCCTTCCCGACAACCCACAGATAACCTTACAGGGGACACTCTGGGCTGATGGTGGCCTTTCCTATCCAGTTTCCATGGAGACAGATCTTGGAAATCATCTAAAAGCAACTATTGTAAAAGGCAGGATGTTAAAATCCTTACGCTGCCTTCACTGATTTGACATCTGCTTTTATCAAAACTGAGATGGTAATCTTAAGACAGCCAGCTGAGAATAAAATCAGTGGTTCATTTCCATTGCTGGAAACCAAAATCCATCTCCGGGCACATACGGTGACCAAGGTACATACGTTACCTTTTAATACGAGTCTTTGTGTGTTGTTGCTTAGCTGAGACCTATGCAGCCAACTTATGCTTTGGATTTAATTCTGTACTCAGCATCCAATGACTTGGTTAAAGAAATGCTTTGAAAATCAGCACATAGCAACTTTTAAAAATCAAACATCTGTCTTCTAGAGCACAGACGGGCAGTTAGGTGGACCAACTTCAGACTGCCATCTTAACAACCACAATTGTTGCTGATAGAACAAAAACTGTGGCTGGAAACAGCTGCCCCTCAGCTGAAGTTATACCCTGGCTGTCATCAGTGGAACAAACTGCTCTTTTCAGCAATAGTCGTAGATGGAATTGGAACCCTCCTTACTGTCTCTTATCTGGGTCTCCTGGTTCCTAATGGCAAGGGGGATAGATTACACCGGATTTAGGGTAAAGCCATGCATCCAAGTGGACTCGTGTTTTCAGCGTTCGCGGATTCCAAGAGAAAGCTTACATTTTGTGCCTTTATTGTGATAATGATCTTTGAATTTTTGTTAGCATTTAGGGAAATCTCCTTTTAGGCGGTAATATATCAAAATAATTTGTTTTTACAGAAAAGATATTATTTAAGTCACTTCAAATGGGGCACTCTCCATTATTGCTGGTGTGCACTAGGTATTCTTAGAGACACTAGAGAATGTATCTTTAAGAAGTATCCCTACATCATGCAAGTTCAAGACTCTGGTATAGAACATAGAGATCAGATTTCATCTTTTCTGTTGTTACTTTGGGATGGTAAAAACAAGAAATAAGCTCTTAGATGTGTGGTGTTGAGAGACTCATCTTTTCTAGAATCAGTTTCTCCATCAGTAAGATTCGGGTAGCTTCTGGGACTATTGCAATGAAGGAAATAATGTATGTGGAGTGTTTGTAAAGTGTTACACTGTAGAAATACCAGTGGTGGTGTGTGTGCTCTGAGATAAGGGTTGTGTTAAAAGAGGCACCAACTCAGTCGTTATGCATGTTACATAATGTCTTGAAGCTCTGATTTCCTTACTTATAACACAGTAGCTGCCTTACAAGTTTATTGTGGGGAGAAAAGGGACATAATGCACACAAAAGAGTAATCATAGTAACTGGCACATAAGAATCATAGGTGTTAATATTCTATTCTTAGTATTATAGTTCTTGTATATAGTATAGTATACTTACTTCTTCAGCAATTGAACTATGTATCATTCTGCACAAAATTTTAAATTCTTCCATGAAAATTTTAAAGGTGGGGTGCTGGCTATCGTGATAATTATTCCAATAAGTAAAATAGCTTTCTAATACTGTCTCGTGTATGAATCTTAAGTCGACTGTTAACTTATTCAAGAAAGCTTTTATGAGAATTAATTCAAGCAATCAGGAGCAATAAAAGCAATTCTGAGTTAATTAGAGGCTTATCAAGTTAAATGAATAGCAAAGGATTTTAAGACTATTTGAATTAGCAATCCGGTAGTGACAGCTGCCAGTGCTGGGGTTAGTCTCTTTCAAAGGAACCTGTGGACCCACTGGTACTTCACACCTTCAAAAGTCCGCTGTGCAATTAGGTGGATCACAAAAGGCTTGCTGCCACTCTTTGGAAATTGGAATCGTGCGAGGCAACAACTAGACGGTCCTGGGCCAACACTGCCCTCTGGTGTTTGATTTAGGGAAGTGGCAACTTCCCGTGGGTAAGGGTAGGGAATTCTCAAAACCAAAAAGATATCTCCAGGCACTTCTCCCATCCACTCCTCTCTAACCAATCCCCTTGCTAGAAAGGTGTGCACAGGACCCTTCCCTTCTTTGTCTGGTCCCACTCTTAAGTTAAATTCATTACTTTTGCTAATCTGTCATGCACACATGTGTAACTTATACTCATGTTCCTTCTCATCTGTCTTCCAACCATTTGCTTATTAATGCCAAGAAATCTCTCTCTCTCTCTCTCTCTCTCTCTCTCTCTCCTCCCCCCTCTCTCCCTCTCTCTCTCCCTCCCTCCCTCTCCCTCACCCTCTCCCTCACCCTCTCCCTCTCTCTCTTTCTCTCCCTCTCTCTCTGTCCACATTTATTTCCCTTTTCATTCCGTATACAAGGACAATAATTATGACCATTTGTTGGGGATAAGGAGAGTGATTCAATTACATCTGGAGCAAGGTACAAGAATGCTCTAGTTCTGAAATAAAAAGAGCTCATTATAGATTCAATGCTGTCAACTTACAGAACCTTCCAGAGTATACTAAAGGACTTCAGATCTTCCAGCAGAATCTTGGTTCCTCTGTAATTAAGCCTGCTTTCACTCAAGTAAAATCAAAGGATTGACTAGAATTACAGATGGTGCTGTTAAAACATTTTTCAATTACATTGTTTTTCTGTTTATGGCATTACAGCGCTTCATAATGGGTCCCACATTCTGTTGTGTCTGGGCTGATGAACAGTTTTTCTCTGGGTATAAGAAGCCGTTGTGAGACCCCATTGACCCCATTCATTTCTCTATTACATTTTATACATTCCCCTGCTTCATGTAACTTGAATGAATGGACATTCCTTGTAGCCAGGATATGGTAAGTTACACTACACTAACAGATACACCCGAAATCTCTTTGCTTGGCACAGCAGTGGTTTATTTCTCACTCAGCTAAATTTGGGCGGGTCAGGTGGCCCTCCTCCATCTTGTGGTTGTGCCATCTGGAACGGATGGACGCCAAGCTCCTTGCCCAGGGCAGACAGGGATGGAGGAGAAGGATGCCGTCTTTGAATTGCCACATCCTCGGAGTGACACATATCATTTTTAGTGGCCAAAGGGGTCACATGGCACCAAACCTAAACAGTAAGAGAGTATAGAAAAATGGAATGGGGGGGGGGTAAATAATTGCCACTACCACATTTGTCTCCTTTTGGCCTGAATCTTTAATTCTATTCTTGTATTTTTGTTGGCTGGATTTGTTTTATTTTGTTTTTAATCTTGAGAGCGCCTACTACTACATCTTCCTTCCCACTTAGCCATCTCTTTTCTTAATGATTCTTTTTCCTCTCCTTCCAAATCCTCTCCATATTTTAAACAAACCAAATGTTATTTCCACTCTGAGACTACTTATCATTCTGACCCTATTTCTTTGCTCTATTATCCTTCTTCCAAACTTTACTTCAACCTTCTGTGCTTCTCAGGATCTTTGGTTTCCTTGTGTAAATTCAACCTGCAGATCTCTACAAAATCACTGTTTTGAAATCTCCAATTTCATCCAATTGCCATATTTTCAGAGATTTCAAAGTGACTTGCTACTAAGTTATTAAATCCAACTCATCCTGGCACAGCCCTAATGTATACTAATTCATTCTTTTCTTCTCGACAAGATTGGTCCCTACAGTCTGATCTCTATGTGAATATCAGGAGTGCTCACAGACAGGCATCTGACTTCGTAGTGCAGATATGTGCTTCCTGTTCCAAAGTGTCAGATCCTTCAGGAGCGCCTGTGTGGCTCAGTCAGTTGAGCATCCGACTCTTGATGTCAGCTCAGGTCAGGATCCCAGGGTCATGGGATCAAGCCCTGCGATGGGCTCCGTACTGAGGGTTGAGCGTGGAGTCTGCTTAGGATTCTCTTTTTCTCTCCCTCTGCCCCTCTCCCCAGCTCGTGCTCACTCTCTCTCTAAACAAACAAAAACAAAACACAAAACATAAAACACAAAGCGTCAGATCCTTTAGGACCTTGGTCAGGTTGTTTAGCACAATTCTGGGCATGACATAGCACGTAAACATCTGACAGAATGCATCCTTCCTTGTGAAGTCTGTTCTTTGCAAAATTCAATTTATATGTGCAATTTAGGTTTTATATGAAAAATAATACCAAGAAAATGAAGGAACAGTAGTATAAATGGAAGCAGCCTTTTGAAAGAGAGAGGAGTAATATATTCCTTCTGGATTGCGGAATGAAAAATTATCACACCTAGTCATGATATTTGGAGTCAAATTTATATTCTTATTTAGTCCTGTTGAATTCGTATTGTTACACTGACCCTCAGTAAATGCTTCCAGGAGTCGTCTGTACAGTGTTAACAATTTGCTTACAATAATTGTTTTCTCATTTTATGCAGCTTCCTCCAGCTTTGCACCACAATTTGAAAAGAAGGGTTATAGAGAGATTCAAGAAATCCCTCTTCAGCCAGCAGAGTAACCCTTGCAATTTGAAATCTGAAATTAAAAAGGTACCGTATTCTACATATAGGAATTCTTCTTTGGCTAACAAAAACACATCGGAAGAGTTAAATTTTTATACCTTCTCTGCTTTGTACTTTTTAAAGTCTATCTTCTATTAAAAGATACTATCGTTATTTGTTTTGGTCCTTCCAAGCTGTATAAAAAAGACACCATAAACCGGGGAGCTTATAAACAGCAGAGACTGCTCTCAGTTCTGGAAACTGACTGCCCAATTTCAAGGTGCCAGCACGGTCATGTTTGGTACAAGCCCTCTTCCCAGTTGCAGACTTTTGACTTCTCCTATCCTCACGTGGCAATTGAGGCAAGGAAACTCTCTGGGGCCTCTTTATAAGGGCACTTTTTTATAAGAGCACTTCCATGAGGGCTCTGTCTTCGTGACTGAATTACCTCACAATGAGTCAATACCATCACTTTGGGGGTTAGGTTTCAACATACAAATTTGAGGGGACACGAACATTCAGACCACAGCACTGCTTATGATACTAAATCAAGGTTATCTTTGCCTCTAATTTTCTCACCTTTATTTCTGGGGCCATCATCTCAGAAGACGAATAGAAAATTGCTTCAGTATGATTACGTGTTTTCCAAAGAATAAATGTTATTAAACATCTTTAATTAAAAATATACTTTAGCCTTTTTAAAAAGAATTCTGTTTTTTAAGAGAATGTAATATTTTATTAGAACATTCTCTCGGAAGCCCCTTAATTGAGCTGTACCACCCAAACAAGTCATTTAACTGGGTGAAGCTGTGATTTTTATCACCTAGGAGGGTGGAATGAACCACTGTTGACCCCCGACCACCTTGAGGAGGAGGGACACTGACCACCTGCTCCTGCACAGTTGAAAACCCATATATAACTTGTGACTTTCCCAAACCTTCATTACTAATAGCCCACTGTTGAAAGACTTGCCGATAGCATAAATAGTGGATTAAAACACATTTTGGAAGTTATATATTATATACTGTATTCTTACAATAAAGTAAGCTAGAAATAAAATCATAAGGAGAAAATACATTTACAGCACTGCACTGTGAGAAATCCACATATTTGGACCCATGTAGCTCAAACCCATGTTGTTCAAGAGCCAACTGTATTTTTAAGTTTTTCCCCTAGACCTTGGGTGTTAGTAAATGTTTCTAATTATACCCAAGAATATTAAATCACAAAAAGTTTAAATCAACCGGATGGAAAGAAAATTGTCTATCTCTGATTAGCACGACTGGAGAAGAGGAAATCCCTCTGTCCTGGTCGGTAGCCATTTCGATATAGCCCTTGGAGCTGGTCACAAGCTTCCCTTTTCCTGTCCCCGAAAGACCCCAGGCCCTAGCGGTCTGGGCCTGTTCCAATTTTATACGTACATTTGTAAAGTTTTACCTACACTTAAACTTTGAAAACATCATGCGCCAATGCTCTTTTTCTTTAGAGTTTCTTTTTCCTTTAATGGATCCAATCTCAAGCATAAATGTACTCCTTATTCAGGCAGTATGATGGGCCCTTTGATACGAAATGCAAACAGTATGTGTTTGCTCTGTTACCTTACATCAGCGGCGTCTGCCGACACACAAACAGGAGATGAAAAAACAGACACGGCAGCAGGTAAACAGAACATAAACCTACCTCATCAGAGATCCAAGAGCGCAATTTCTTTCATGGGCTGTGTTGGCAAATGAGGCCAAGAAACAAAGCTCAAGTAGATCAAACAGAAGTGGATGAGACTGTGGATATTTATTTTTATGGTATTTACATATTGCATCACGAATACCAATAAATGTATTTTAGGAAGACAGAGCCTCAAGTCTCCCATGAAAATATTACATGTTGCTAGGTTTTCATAGTCTTATTAAAATGATATGCGGAATAATCCTCTTTGTATGCAAATTTAGTTTAACAGAAATCCCAGCTTTAAGAGATCAAAGTGCCTGCATCACAGCTTGCAGGAAGGTTCCCTCCCCTCCCCCACCCCCTCCCCATTGTTGAGATTTTCCACCGGCGCATGTCCTTCCGTAAAGCAGAGTATTCTCTCTTCCGTCACTTAGATTTTTGGTTTGCATCCCTTTCTTGCTGGCTTTCTTTTCTGTCCAGACAGAAAAAAGATGCTCTTTTGTTAAACCGACCCCACCACCTTGTAGGCCTTCCTCTGTACAGTGGAGGCTTCTCTCAGAGCGCTTAACCTTCTGCCCTTGGTCTGGGGAATACAAAGGGATTAATGGGGGTGGTCAAGGGCATTCAGGGAGCCCAGGGTGGCAGGGGAAGGGGGGGGGACGAACTCAAAGACTTATCCCTTTTCTCAACTTTGTTTAGAGGCACACTTCTCCGGTGAGGAATGCCATAGTCCCCTCTGACACTACAAGCTTGTGGTGGTTCGTTCCATCACGGCGTATGCGCTCCTGATCACGGAGGCAGGCCTCCTCTCCTGTGCGCTAAACAAATCTGCCTGGAATATTAATACACTTCCTGTTCTCCACCACTGAACTGAGAGGCCAGCTCCTCCATAAAAATCTCCCTCGCTTTTCCCTGTACAGAATCAATCTCCCTTTTCTCTGTGCTTTTTTAGTTTACTCACATTGTTGTGTTTAAAGAGCTTTTTATCTGGCTTGCATTTCTGTTTCTCCCAAAGGCAGTGAGTGTGTCGTATCCATCTTTGATTGCCCGTGGTCTTGCACAGAGCCTGGCACATGACGGGGCTTAATGTATGATCGTTGAATAGAGAGTATATTCTATATTGATAAGTATGTTGTGTATGATATAGTCTATTTATTGATATATATAATATATGATATATGCTGATATATTTAATATTTATATTTTTATATGGATATAAAAAGAAGCCCTCCTGCCCTCCTCTAAACACAAATGAGAAAACTCTGTGACCTCTGTTTTTCACCCTTTCTGGTATAATCTTTTGTTAGTGACAATTTTTGTTTGGAAATGGATTTTTCATCCCCTATGTGATCTCGGTAGAGTGGCCAATTGGCCTTTGACTACTAACACAGTCACCTACATCGGGGCCATGGAAGAAGCAAGCAGTGATAGCATATAAAATGCATTTGATTTCCACCTTCCCCTCTGAAATCTGTTCTGAAATCCAGGGCCTCTATGTCTCCAGTTTGAGGAACAGTTATGGGATGATTGTGCCTGCCTTCTGATTAATGGCCTAAGACCCAGCAGGATATATAGAAGAGTGAAGAAGTGGGAAAAGCCCTTTTCTAAGAAACTAAGCTCTTTATTTATGACTTACTTCAGCGGATCTTCAGTCCGGTCTTCTCAATCTTGGCTAAAATTGTAGGAGAATACAGCATGTGATTGTATAGAGTTTGGGGAAACTAGGATTTTCAGCATTGGAGAAAGGAGAAACAGAAACAAGATAGAATATATTAATTCAATATACATTTATATTGATAATATTTACATATTATCAATATAATATATAGATAATATTTATATATTATCTAGTTAATAACGTAGAATTGGAAATACCAATATGAATAAGTATGAATTCATGATAAATCTTTTCTTTTAAAAATATCCATATTTCGGGGCACCTGGGTGGCTCAGTCGGTCAAGCATCTGACTCCGGCTCAGGTCAGGGTCTTGTGGTTTGTGGGTTCGAGCCCCACATCGTCAGGCTCTGTGCTGACAGCTCAGAGCCTGGAGCCTGCTTCGGATTCTGGGTCTCCTCCTCTCTCTGTCCCTCCTTTGCGCATGTTGTCTCTCTCTGTCAATAATAAATAAACATTAAAAATAAATAAATAAATAAATAAATACATATTTCCTAATATTTCCACTAAATTGTCTAGAAACTAAGCAAGTAGCGGAGAGCTCCCTGAGCACCCATGGCTCCTAGGAGATAGAGTGATTGCAGGGCTAGAACAGGAGCTGAATGAGATTAGAATGGAATGTCTTGACATAATAGAATGCATAGTGAGGATGCCATCAAGGATTACTGGGGATGTGTCAAAAGGACTCAGGAGCCAACTTAAAGAGGCTCCCGCTGGCTGTCTAGTGGATAATTAGAGCATCAGTAGGGATAATAACTGCAATGGATGGAAAGCCTTAAGTAAAGTTTCAATCTAAGAGTTCATGATAGTAAAATAAGAAATCCCTCACTGGTTACCTTTGGAGGATGCTAAGTAACCAACTCATTGTTTTGAAAATTATTTGCAAAAGGAAAGAATCAAACATTTATTCATTTATTCTGTGGTTCCCTTATGAATTCTATCCCAGGGTAATTAAATTGATCAGGGGGAAGTTTCTCATTATACTAGTACTCCAGCTAATAACAACTAAAGGAATAAAAAATATTGTCATTTTGCAGCCTGTAATGAAATAATGGACCTAGACATGATTACCAGTGGTTACTAATGTCACAGAAAGAGGGGCCACCAGGCATACGCCTCCCAATGGCTGTGTATTTGCTAAAAACCTGGATCTGCATCTGAGGAAGCCTGTATATTGGAAGTGGGCAAACCGTGGTCCTCAGGCCAATCTGGTGTATTGCCTGTTTTTGGACATAAAGTTTTATTGGAACACAACCAATGCATTCACTTACATATTGTCTATGGTTGCATTCACCTTGTAGGCACAGTAGCTGTGATACAGACTGCAAGACCTGTAAATCTGTAAATATTTCCTACCTGATCTTTGCCAAAGAAGTTTGCCAATCCCTTGCTCTACATCCAGATACTACAAATGGGTAGCAAATACGTGGGACAAGAGAACATGTTAAAAGACACCATGGGGAGGGGCGCCTGGGTGGCGCAGTCGGTTAAGCGTCCGACTTCAGCCAGGTCACGATCTCGCGGTCCGTGAGTTCCAGCCCCGCGTCAGGCTCTGGGCTGATGGCTCAGAGCCTGGAGCCTGTTTCCGATTCTGTGTCTCCCTCTCTCTCTGCCCTTGCCCCGTTCATGCTCTGTCTCTCTCTGTCCCAAAAATAAATAAACGTTGGGAAAAAAAAAAAAATTAAAAAAAAAAAAAAAAAAGACACC